TAAATTTTGTGCCGTTCTCTCAGATAATATAGGATGTCTATTTAGAAAAAGGTTGTACCATTTTTTGCCCGGTCTATTGGTAGTCAATGGAGTTGTTTTATTCTGGTCAATTATGATACGTTGTACGCTATCGAGTAACTCATCTCTAGTAATGGGAATGTGTTTTTCAGCCATTTCAAGTATCCATTTTTCTAAAATAGCCTCCTCTACCGTTGGCAAATATGTTTTAGGGCCCATGGAACATTCAACTGGAGTCTTACCGGAAATATTATCGTGTAATGTAATTTTGGGTACACCAAACTGACTTTTCTGACTGCTTCTACGGCCTGGGCCATTTGAAGAGGCATGTAATTTTTTTTAAGGGGGCCATCCTGCAAGAATGTCGGTTACTGGAACATGTAGACTAATATATAGAATATCCAATCATCGACATATCGTCTGTCGGTCATTGGAACGTATGGGATACCCAATCATCGACACGGCTGTCGATCATTGGAAGCAGTTAGAATATTTAAATGAAAGACCTAAATATTTAGAGTGCTGAACAAGCTTAGCTAAACAATATAATCAAGTGCACAAAATAAAATAAAAAAACATTTCGACATTTGTCGAAGAATGGAAAAGCAAAAAAAAACTCCCAATTACCGACAGGCGTATTTTAGCATTTAAATATAACCTTACCCTTCTAATGAAATTATTAAGCAGTTGTGAATTTCTATCCTCATGTAATAAATAACTAACGTTTTAGATAAAACAAAACCATTAAAAGTTATGAGCAACAAATCTTACTCACCTCCTTGGCGATTTCACAAATAAAACTGGATTTGGTTGGAGATCTACCGCGGTCGAAACATATCATTACGCCATTTTGTACAAAATTGCCGAAAATATGAAACGTTATCAGCAATGACAGCTAGATAATCCTCGTCTATAGTTTATGCTTCAAATGTGTTCAGAAGTCAGAATATATTCTTATTTTTCTTTGTTTTGTTTTTTAATGTCGGACAATGGTGCCTTGTCGAAGATTGGGTGTTTTACCTTACGCTTTTCAACATATTCTACAAAGAGCGACAGCTCTGTCTTAAAAACAGCTATGAGATGGCTCGGAAACGCTGGCTTGCGTGGTTGCATTGGTCTAGGAACAAGAATGTTTATCGGAATAATCCCGCAAGTTGTGGACTCGGCTCTGAACTAACACGATTTTTGAGAGACTTATTTTTAACTCGTGACTTATCTTAAAATAAGTACCATTATTTTAAATAAGTAAGTAGTTTTTACATGATATACCAATGGATGATAAGTCTAATTACCTAAGCTCACCTGTCTTGGCAAACACATATATTGAAGTCGATTGTTTTTAAAGAATCAGTCCGTAACCTACTATTCTGTGTCTATAAGTTAACTTATTTCCTTTTCTTCAATAATGTACTCTTTACATCATAATGATCTGTTTCAAATACTTCGTCATATATGTTGTTCTGAACGTCATACAGTAATTATGCTGCGTATTATTTGGTTCAGCATGTGGTACACAAGACTTGTTCCTACTTCAAATTATCCCGAATCATTGTATTTGTACCGACGAAGATTAGTTTAGCCTTGTTTTGGTTCAAAACAGGTGAAAGTAGTTAAAGACAATCCGATTGGTGACTTGTACCGAATAATGGTAATCGTAAGTGGGACCCTGATTTTTGGTACTTAAGTAAAAAGTACAGTCTTGTAAAATGTAAGACTCAGTATCGAACAACTTTACATCTTTTTCTCTCGTTCGTACGCCTTATTTGTGATATACAAAAATACAAATGAATGCTATACAAGGAAGCGTCCGGTCATTAACAAAACAAATATATGTAGAAGTATATATATATATATACTTCGCGAGTTAAGCAGCTTCGTAAGCTTGAAGAAATTAAAGGCGTGATTCAAATAATATTATTTGATTCATTTTTAAGCTTACTCGTTTCTTTATACAGTTTCATATAATCTGATAAATGTTAATATTTAAATTTATCATAAATTGTCACATTGGCGTATATATCTATGTACGTGGCGATCACCAGGCGATAACAAACAGGTCTCAATATAAAGCTTTCAGTGACGGTCAAGTAGTTTAATAGCAGCATTTTACCTGAAATAAAATGCATATTAAAATACTTACCTCACTGAAAGCTTTCACTTTAAATTCTGCCTGGTGAAATAATTGAGCCAATGAGTTAATATGGCGCTGTCAAAACTTAGGAAAACAAAAATGGCCGCGCTTCTGCCAGGTGTCGCCACTGGACCGGATATAAGGTGAATAAAAGTACGGAAACTGATGGTAATTCGACGGGAAACGGAAGTGCTATCTCAATATAAAGCTTTCAGTGAGGTAAGTATTTTAATATGCATTTTATTTCAGGTAAAATGCTGCTATTATAAATAATATTAGTGATGAGAATCAATTCCACGTATACAAAACTCTGAAATACTGCGTTATTGCTATGTTAACGACTCATAACTTTAAAAGTATTTATTTAGTAAAAAAAAAAGATTTATGCAAAAGTTGTAGGAAATTTAATGATGAATAACTTTCATAATATAATATATAACATGTTTTTTATCAATTAATGGCATTTTAAAGGCTTTAAAAATAAAGTGAAATGTTATAAGCATATTCACTTTGCTTCACAAGCTTTCTTTATGGCTGCATTATTCTTTCGTTTCTTTTTTTGACACAATAGTAAGCAGGAATTTTACGTCCCATTGTAAAAGCTAATAACAAAAATATTAGTTGAAGCAACGATTATAAACGGAGGTACTTATAATAATAAAAATTAATACGGTTGCGGTTGTGGAAACTTACATACAGTCAACGATTAAAGTTTTGCGGTCGTAGTATATCCAGCCAGTTTTACGATGAATGCACTCGTAGCGTCGCTCGAGACGCGTGCGGTACAAAGCGACACAGGTCCGACCTCCAAAGGCGCTGGCGCCGTACTGAACGGCGCCTAGATTTGCACTAGTATATATTGCATTTTACGGGTGATGTTCAGAGTCTTTTAAAATAATAATTAATGAACTTATTATAAAAATATATACATATTTCAATAGTTCAATGATTGTAGATTAGTTTTATGAAAGTCTTTTATAGTAATTCTATTTAATTCAATATCAAAATACGAGGTAAACCTGCGTTATTTTTTGGGGAAACTCACGGAGGTTAGATGTTTTTTTAAAAATTAATGAGATGGAAAATCTCAAGATTCTAATACATTATGTTGCAACAAAAACATATTTCTGATGTAGTAGTAATTAATTTGATTTAATTTATTGAACATTATTGTGAGATTTAGGCGTTTTAAGTTGTGCATATAATTTTTTTTTCCGTAAACTAGCTGCGGTAGAACGATCAGTACAAAAAAATGAAAATGGTATTTGCAAATATTCTACATTAATTTTCAATAGGAAGAATAAATCTACTGTTTACTTCTATTGGAAGTAGTCAAAACCTCTTCTAAGGGGGCAAACGAGGCGCTCAAAAATTGCGATTTATTGCAAAAAATGTGAAAGGGCTCTTAAATTATTGCAATACTGAAGATTTTCTAAAACCATAAATATCTTCAGAAAGAAAAATATTGTAATGTGGATCTATGAATGTATGTATGTGTATATATATTTATAATTGCGAAATAAGGGAAATCAGGTTTTAACTAAGGATTTCAATCAATTAATGGTGTCGATGCTGGCATGAATGCACGATTCTCTAAACTTAAAATCAACCTCTCCTTTTCGTTCTGTATAAGTAGAGAATGACAAGGATACACTGTTGTCAAATTTAATTTTAAGTTAAAAGAATCATGCCAGTATAGACACTAATATTCATTCTTTTTAGTCCTCAAACTTACAGTAAACTCCAAATATCAATGTTTGGTAGTGTGTATCGTAAATATTAACTAAAGTGCAAAACAAAATCTCTTTCTAAAAATGTGTTATTAAATCTCGAGAGGGCTCCCGTTGAACTCCTGTCTTCCTTTCCCGACTAGTTAATATACATTTCTGTGTCATTCATTATTTTTGTTATCTCCTAGCTTGTAATGGAAGAAAATAGTTAAAATTGTTATTTATAATCCCATACCCTATGGCACGACTGGTAGAGCTAAGAGAAGTACCCCTGGCACGAACCAATATCGAATTCAAATAGTTTGCGAGTTCGAAATATCATACTCAAATATGTAAGTACTGACTTTTCTATATCTTTACGTCCGATAAAGCACTGCTGTTCAAATGACTTTTTGCACTCGCAAACTATGCGAATTCGATATTGGTTCGTGCTAAGGGTACAGATTACCGGTTGTGCTACGGCTACGAAACGACAGGGCGCAAAGAGGCTACAAAGAATAAAAAAAAAGATTTTTTTAACTTAGTCAATAATTTATTGGAGTTAACAAATACAAGATCATGACTTATTTTATTATTACTACCTTCTATATTTCTTAACATTTCACTTAATCCAATAGGGGTGATGACGGGATACAGTAAACGAAATTCTATTTAGTCCGTCAGTTAGATAATCAAAAAATAATGGACACGTATTTTTTCTTTGGGCAATCAACCAAAAAATGACAAAGTTATAGCGCGTCAAAGTTTGGGAGTAGGGGCTCGTGACGTCACTTTTTAGTGAATTTTCACTTAAAAGTGTACTCAAACGTGACGTCATGCGACTTTTCATATCAATATATCTCTCTGCAATGTTTATATTATGTGAAAAAAGAAAAAAATACGTGTTAATAATTTTTTATAATCTACCTGATAAACGAAGAAAAAAAAATTAGTCATCATCCCTATTCCCATCAGTTTGACCAAATAACTCAAGTACAAACCTGGTCCTAACTGTTACAATTAATAGCTAATATTTGGTATTCTGTGAAAATAAGAAAATGAAATAAAAACGTTTCTCACGACGTGTTATCCCCGGGCTTAAGAGGACTCAATAATGTTAAATAATCCGGTCAAATTGGACAGAAAAATAAGAATGTGGGTTGATATATAAATTTACTAATTCACTTATACCCATGATATAAAAGAATATCAAGAAGATCAAGAAAAACAACAATAAGAACAGTAATAAATAAGTAATTAAATATTATGAATCGGACGAATAATTTTTTCTACTGTTTTTTAATTTCCATCGCTTTTCGAACCCTTGCTAATATTTGTTATAATGCAAGTTCCCAATTAAACAGAATCACATCACAACAGACTAATGGAATAGGCCTACTGGGGAAACCACGTTAAAAAAACGATGTAAGTACAGTACCTCAGAGGTTGCGTGGAAACGTGTGCATATTATGATGCTGACAACTTTTTGAATCGTTATATCTCAAGAGTGGCTCTGGCTCTTAGGAAAAAATATACATAACTTTTTTTTAGAAAATATTATGATCTAAAATTTTCGTCTGAGGTAATTTTACGATAAAAGGTACCTTTTAACTGTTGACCTCGAGTCAATTGTTTTATAAGTACCGGAACGATGAGAAATATTTAAATGTTAATTTATGTTTTGAACAATTTACCTCACTTCCAGCTAAATGTAACTTTGAATGTCTAGTCTAGATTGACCTGAAAATTATGATGTATAAATTCCTCTTACGCGGACGGACAGTCAGTAGGTAGGTTACTTGCAAATGCGACCGTTTCGCAAAATTTCCCTTGTAATAATTAGAGTAGTGTATGTATATCGCAGTGCAGTGCGATGCGTACTTGCAAGCGGTCGTGTGCCACTGTACAGTAAGAATTTAATTCGCGCTCCACACGGCAACAGCCGTCGTGAGTCGGTAGCAATGAGTTCCGATCAACTCATAGCTAACGAGTTGTTGGCGTTTATACAATACGCCATTGACACCATGGACGAGGTCAGCATTCTGCAAATCTGTATGTCCAACTTCAAGGAGGATGAGGTTTGCATTGACAAGGCGCTGCTGTTAGGTGTGTCGGCAAGGCAAGACAAGATGCCATCTCGACGGAGGGATGGAACAGAAAAGAGTATGCAGGATATAATCACCCTGCTAAAGGAGACGGATCCGGACGACGTGCCTACATTCTTGGCGAAGGAGCTGCACAAGCTGCCCCCGGTCACGTTCGACCACGTCGATGTCACCAGGCTGCTGAAGGACATCGACTTCCTGAAAGCTAGCCTGGCCGATGTAGTGAGCAAGTTGGAGGACGCGAATAACACCATCGATCGGTGAGTTGCGAGCTCAGGTAGACTTATTAAGCAACAATGCCTGCGCAAGTAGGTCACCCGAAGCCTCTAACGTGAACACACGTCGTGGGGCGCAAAATGCATCCGTCAGCGGCATTGAGTCGGCGCCTGCGAGTGCGTCACCGGCCGCCGTCACCGCGAGCGATGACTCGCGCCCCGCCGCCGCCGCCCGCCCCTCCGTCACACCGGAGACGTCAAGCGCATGCACGTCTACACCGCAACGTGCTTACGCAGCTGCAGCCGCCAGCCGACCCGTTGATGCGGTTCCGAATTGCGAGCGTCGTAGTAAACAACCAACATAGAAGAGTAGCAAACTCAGCATCCAACGTGCTACTCCGGCAGCGTCACAAAAGCGGATTTCTGACGAAGAGGGTTTCATTAAAGTGGAAAGGAAGAAGAGGAAGCCCATTCGCCGCAATCTGTGTGGTGCCGCCCCGACCGGACCGAACCATCTGCTGCGTCCTGCAATACCGACGACACCGCTGTGTACGTGTCCCGACTGCATTACTCTACGAAAGAAGAGGAGATCGTAGAGTACCTGCGGATTAAGACCAAATTCTCCCTCAGAGTCGCACGGTTGGAGTCCCGTCACAATGTGAATTTTAATTCCTTTGTGGTGCGGGTGCCAACCGAACATCTGGCGACGTTCATGAAAGAAGATTTTTGGCCGAAAGGTGTTGTGTTCCGGCGGTTCCGAGGCCGGCTACCTGACACCACTCCGCGTCACACGTCGCCGTCTATACGTGTTAATTAGGTTTCTACTAACATAGTTATTATTATTTTTTAATTACTAACATTTAATGTATTACCTTTATCTGTATTTATGTTAGACTATAAGGTATTTATCTATGGGCCTACGTTGCCTGACTAAACAAATAAATAAATAAAAATAAATATGTAATAAGTAGTCAACTTAAAAAAAAAACACTCCTCCCAGGCAATGGAAAATACACTGCCACATATTGACTACTTTGGCGCCTGTATATTTTTTATCTATGGTCAATCCGTCAGCGTATAGAGTATAAGTATGAATTCCAACTTAGATCATTTACATTACAAACGACAACCAGCACCTCAGGGTCTCCTCTGCAAACGGTTGAAAGGAAAATGGACGAAGTATTTGTCACATCCGTGAAAATAAGTTTCTCTTCGGTTTCTGAATTTTCAGCGTATTATTTATGTACATAATTATTATAAACAGGTTAAAAATAAGATGGATCAGAAACGTGATCATCGTCGTCGTCGTCGTCAAAGTAATCTAACAACTCGAACATGCACAACTTATTAAAAAATATTTTTTAAATGCAAACTATACTTAACATAAAAAATTACACAAGGACCAATTTACAAAATGACTACAAGGAACAAACAATGAATAAAGGTGGAAAATGATAATAAAAGGGCCTAACTGCCAACTGTCTCTCATCTCTCATGGCCGTTTGCAGCAAACTGAGGAGATTCATAATATCATAATTAAATACTTTGAGAAAAAAAATACATCAAAATAATCCACACGGCCCAGGTATCAGGATGGATTAGAATTAGAACCACTTTCCTTAACTTTTCCTATATGGTGTGGTTAACGAATGCTTTGTTTTCTAGTCAACCCGCTATCGGAGGAGCAAAATTTTTGTGTAATGAATATTAATTGATTAAAATCAAATTGTTTGGTCAGGTTAGTATGGGGCAGGTATGGATAATTTGGGCCAAGTCCCTTAAAAGAATAAAAAAGGTTTTGTTTTAAAAAATCGCATTTCAGAATTCAAACCAATGAATTTTTTTTTTTATAAAAAGGTTACTATTGCGTCCATAACAAACGAAGGTCAAAAGTGCAATTATGCATCCCCCATAAAATATGTTTTGATAATTTCAAGCGAATGAATTTACAAATCATCCAGACGCCAGATTGTTATATCACGTGCAATATAACAAATGAAATTTTATTGCATTATAAAATTCGAGCGGTGTCACATTTTGTTGCTTTTTTTTTCTCAAACTGACCAACATATTATATCATATATATTTATAAGTTTAATCGGAAAACGAAGTCTATTGTTCAGCATCAATATCTGTATTATTGTTATTATATGATAACTACTTAATAAAAACCACGAGGATTTTATTTAGGAAAGAGATTTATGATGCTACTAATTCCATTTTTCTATATTTCTTCCTCAATGTAGATACGGGATCTTTAAATAATATGGGGTCTAATCGGAGAACGGAACGCATCAGTGGCATATAGCCCCACGCTGTCGCAAAAGTGTTCAAACAGGATTGCCGCTGAACGAAGTGCTCCGGATCACTCCAAGGGGACCTAAAAACCATAACAAAATAATTATATGTTAATTTTAAGTATTTTACTGCTAGATTCATAAATATAAAGAAAAGTTAAACGTAAAACTTATTAAGGGTCTCGCAGACAGAGACGGCCGCGGTCTGTCTTCAGTGGTCGATCGAGTTTGAACACTTGCTTTATTGCAAGCGAATACAAATGGCCGCCATCCCGGCTGTGGCCACTGGCTGCGTCTGTCTGTGAGACACTTTAATAATTATTATTTCGTAATGAGGGTGTTTACGCCAAGTTGGTGCCAATTAATCGAACGAGCATTTGAATTTATCCCACTGCTGAGGCACAGGCCTTCCCAATGGGAGATTAGGTAAATGCCCCTCAATTTTTGTTAATGAATACAAATGACCGTCCCAACGATAAAAGCTTTTTATGTCGTACCTACCTACTTACTAAATAGTAATCATTTATTTTATTATCGTAATGAAACGTTATCAAGCCAGCGTGTTAATTAAATACGATGAGGATTGGTAGATATATTTCTATGCTAATAATTTTCGAGTGTTATAAATGGACAAGACTGTTTTCTATTCATATTCCAATACTTCTACTTTTGCCAAAAAATAATTTCGATAAATATGCATCCGATTATCCGATTTCTAATTACGCCGTAATGATATTTTTGCCAATTCGTTATTTTTTTAAATTGGCGCCGAATTCTATTTTTCAGAGTTAAATTACTTTATTGACCTTTTCTATAGTCCACCGTGTTTTTTTTTTTTCATCTTCCGATCAAAGTCATCTCACTCTTTTTTCTGTTTTGAAGCGCTTCTCTACTGCTGCTTCGTAAAACTTCTTCTTCACACATTATAAGGTTACTTAGAATACTATAATAAACAACAAAACGGAATTTGTATGAAACAACAGTGCAATAATTTAACGAACAAGTCACAAGCGCCGCGGTTACTCGAGCGACACCTTACTCACACTGTGTCCGTTTAACCGGTAGTGGTCCCTGAAAACGCTCGGAAGGGCCCGTGAAGCCATTAGAAAAAATAATGACATCAGTTATATCGCTCGCTCGGGCCAAGACAGCTACGGGTAGGAGGCGCCGCCAAATACAGGCATACGACACTAACCAATATTTTGATTTGATAATCGGTGGTCCGTGGTAAGACAGAAATGTGGCAAATGGACCCTCATCACGAAAAGGTTAAGAACCACGTGTCTTAATGCTATTAAATGAAATGTTCAATTTCGCAAACGCTCGCCTCGTACAGCGCGAGGGTGGTGACACTGTGTAGTATACAACGAGAACTTCGACGTACTTGTAGCGGTGGTGCGCCGCCTTATACCGGCGCCGCTGCGCCAGCTTGAGCGGCGGGCGGCGCGTGAGGTGCGCCACCAGACAGTTAAGCAGGATGTCCTCGCAGTTGCGCGCGCGGCGCACGGCGTGACGCAGCGCCGGCGCGCTCGCCTCGTACAGCGCGAGGGTGGCGCGGTGCACTAGCGCCGCGCCCGGCAATACCATTGAATATGCCCCGCCCCATTTACTGCTGTACCCCCAAGCACCCTGTCAGAATTGGGCTTTATGAGTAAAAATACTATCCGGCCTGATTAGACCTGGGACAATTTGAAATTGTGCCGGTTGTGTCGAGCCTGGTATGATTATTTAAACCGAAAATTAAATTTGACCCCAGTCTATCCTTGTCATTTTCTATGCAGAACGAAAAGGAGAGATTGGTGTTAAATTTTACTTTTAAGTTTAAAGAATCATACAATCATAGGGTCGAATCATACAATTTTTAAATAAATTCACTATCATAAAATACAAGTCATGTTTGGTATTGCGTATGACACTTCTTTTGGTGAAACTCAAACTCATCTAGACTGTTACAAGCTCTTAACACATATATGCCTCTTGATTCGAAAACAGCAGAACCCCTTTATGCCCAGAACTATTTTGGAATCCAATTTTTGTAAATTTTGGATATGTTAATGCTATTAGGTCTTTACTGACATATTAACTACATTAATGGAGGTCATTGATATATTAGTACCTTTTTTTAATAGTCATAGTTGACTCGTGCCAAATAGTATTAATACAAATGTTTATTTGTTATAATTTTTGGTATGAGGAACCTAAATACATCGATTTCACTTCATAAAATTAGAAGATGGCTATAGTAATTTAATTTGAAAAATAGTTTCTTAGTCTATACATTTTAAACACTAAAAACGCTGTCCACCACCTTGATTGTGACGTCACAAAATTTGTAAACAACAAAACATCATTGCCGTGATACTGTGGTTTCTTTCGGCGAACTAAAATATATCTAACAACTCTTATCTTGTAGAAAAGCTACCGTTTATTGGTTTTGTTGACTACATTAATGCTGGACGCCGGATTTGTGTAAGCAGAAACGACAAAACTCTTGACTTAGTAGGTACATTCATAACCTTAAAAACTGTATTCTTAAACTTTAAATATTATTCAATGAGTACTTACATCGAAGTGATCTTTACAAAAAAAGATTCGATAAAGTTACAGGTTTTTGCAAGTTTTAAAAATGTGTTCATGTGTAGGTACATTTATTTCTCTAGGAAATTTAAACTAAAACAATCATGATACTTTTTTTTCATGTAATCTATTAGGAATCATGGTTTTCTTCATATAAAATTCTCATGTCACAATGTTAGTTACCACACTCCTCCGAAACTGCTTGGTCGATTTTTATGAAATTTTATAAGCATATTCAGTAGTTCTGAGAATCGGCTACTATCTATTTTCGATACCCCTAAATGATAAGGGTCGGCCACCCCAATTTGTTTTTTTTATTTTTGGATTTTTTTTTCATTTAAAAATACCTACAACCCTAAATTTTCACCCTTCTACCACCAGCCATTCTTATGACAGCTATTTTTATGGCGATACGAAGTTCGCTGGGTCAGCTAGCATAATATAAACTCAGGTTATTTTCCACGTGATTGAGAGTGTTTGTTTACAAATGTTTTACGTCACAGCACAGATAAATCTATAGACTAAAATGCCCGACAGCGTTTTCGTATGTCCATGAAAAATCTATTTTCAATTAAAGTTTTGGAGCTTTCTAGGACAAACAAAAATACATTTTTTTTTGGTCTAATAGAACAATTTATTAAGCATTTAAAACATATTTCCAAAAAGTGTCAACTAGCCTATTGTTCGAAAATGAAACATAAGACACTTCCCCTACATTGACTGTGATTAAATAAACAACTGTATTTGATCTATTAATTTATTTTTAAAATGAGAAATCATTGTTTTTATTTATTTTTAAGCATTTAACTGCTAGATGTTTAAATCTAAAGAAAAGTTTTACTATCGACTACAATGCGAAGAGATGCCGCTGCCTTTTCTTTAGATTTAAACATTTAGCAGTTAAATGCTTAAAAATAAATAAAAACATAACTATAATTGCTATTTCTTCTTTCAAATGGTTAATACTTGAAAAAGTATTCATTGGACATTGTGGGCTACCTACAATGCGAAGAGATGCTGGTGCCTCGCAGCTTAAGGCTAGGAAAATTTCAACGCGACCATCAGGGCCGTGGTAGTATAATTGGTCAGTGCATTCGCCCGGATTGCGAAGGGTGCGGGTTCGAGTCCCGTCCGCTGCCTGGTCCGCGTGGATTTTTTTCTAGTAAAACTTTTCATGAGAAATCATAATAAAAAGATATATTAATATATATTTTATATATATATATATATAATAAAAACTTAAAATGAAAGAATTTAATGCAATAAAAAGATTGGAATGTAAATGGACTTGGACACTTTTGAGACGAAGTGACCGTCAGGTCCGACGCATAAGCAACACAACAGAGTCGGCTTGGTATCTAACGATCATATGCACAGTATTATAATTTCGGATTGAAGGAAGAAATAGTTTTAAAAACCCTTATGGAAGAACCGCCGCTTATCAATACCGTACTTTTGAAGTAAAGTTCGTCGAAATCCCAACGTGACAACATCATTACAAACTTATAGCGCGACGAGTATTGCATTGTTTACAAAATAGAAATAGTCGATTGGGAATCGATAGCTCCTGATGCAGTCACCACTGTTCTTGAAGGTGGAGTGATCCGCTCATTATCCACTATAGCTAACTCTTGTTTTACCCACTTACGGTTTTGTGACCATCGTAGTTGACTCAATTAGGGCATTTTCTGTTTGGTATTCGGTCTCGTCTAGTTTGGTAGGTACCTTGAAAGCGGAAGATCATCACCTTCTAAAACTCACTATCATCATTATTAACATCGTGAACCAGTTCTACAGGTCCTAGGAGTTATCTTACTGATGACTTCTCAAATCTTACACTTGTCTCAACGCCAGAATCTAAATATGAAATAAATCCATGTCACTTTATCGCTTAAGTTCAAATCATTAAAAATTTCTACCATTTCAAAGGTTGTCAATGTTGCTTCTACGTAAATAGAAAATTCATATTTAGTATAATTCATACCGTATATTTTCCCAGTGTATCGTTTTCGAAACGCTGTTTATTTATTTTTTATATATTTTTATATGATAATTATAACTCATTATAATTACACAAATATATCCTGCATACACCTAACTTTAGTTTAGAACATACAAAACTCGTAGATTTTAGCTGATTTGGATAGGATAATTTTTTACTTTTTTGGAGGAGACGCGTTGATTTTTGCACACTGAAATGAAGTCACAAGTTACACTGACTCGTAACCAAAAACAAATAGTGTTACGTAGATAAAGCAATAAGGCGACAGGATGCACTGTCGGATCAAAAGTAGAAGTTAATGACCATCAACGAAAACTCCTTTTTTGTTTCGTTTTCGAATAAGGGGGCACATTAGGAACCAAAAAATAAAAGTTGTGGGCATATATGGGTTAAGATCGTCAAACACTCCGGTTCGCAAGTAAACGACGGAAAACCTTGTACTAAGAAGAACTAGCAAGAATCTGAACAAGTGGTTTTGTAATCTCTCAATATTTTTTTTTCTCCTGGAGAATTGTTATAATTTTAAAATATTATACAAAGTTCTATGCTTTGTCGTATGTAAAAGAAAAATGATCGGTTTGTAAATGGGAAAAATAAATGGAAATATTTTATTTTAGTTTACTGTTTAACGGTACGGAACCTCATTACATACGAGCAGGTGTTATTTCAGCTAATACCCAGCTGATAAGGTACCGGGGTAAACTCTCGGTTACAGCAATGAACTATTGAAATACAAAGGCCGTAGCTTGGAAGAACAAATCAAAGATGGCGGTTTTTGTTACATGCAATTTATATTGATATAATCCCGCGTTACATGGCGGCGGCCCGCAGCATTTATACTCCAAATACGAAATCAAACTTTTACAAATGTACCGTTATAAATTTTAATTTAATTACCAAAAAAAAGTACTTTCTTTGTTAATCAAAAACATCCATAATTGATAATTTTATGTTTAATAATCAATAGGAAATCACGGTGCAATTGCTTATCGAATGCCAATTACATCGATATCGTTTCCTTTGCGCGCAGGCACATACGACGTCACATGACGTTTGGTTTTGTTTATTTATTGAAAATGTGATTTTCATATTTACTGAAAACAACCCGTGAAATGGAATGAGAATAATTTTCTGAATGCAATGATACCATTAAATCGTAATTTGGTTCGGTATTTATGAAGATATTACGATAAACACTTTTTACAATGAATATTTATGATCGTGTTTTCAGACACAGCAATGATTCCAGGAATGAATTAGTAGACCAAACATAATCAAGGATGTATGTTCGATCGTAATTAATGGTTGTTAAATTGTGCTACCTATTATTTCATAAGTTATGTACCTATTGTTGACATATTATTTACGTGATCGCCGGTCTGTGACGTCACGTCTCCAAAGAAAAGTCGTGTACCACGACAGCTTATCGATTATAAATTAATATAAAATGTTAGGCAATAAATATTTCATATTTCTATACCAAAATAAAATGCCACACGTTGAAAGAACATCTTATAACAATAAATTATGGCGTGCCAGCAGTATTTTTAAAAATTTAAAAATACAAAAAGGAGTTTCCATAGCTTCTGGCTAATATTAATAACTCCGCATGCTTCTAAACTACCAATAGTAAAAATGTACTTAATCAGCCATTTTTTTTGTTGTAATTGGCCTACGAAGGCGGATAGGCTAAAAATCATTGAAACACGATTAAAGAATTAAAAATTATTTTATCTATTATTTATAATTTTTATGGTAAATTAAACTTAACAATGTAATTTCAAATTAAATTTAATTGAAATGCCTGTAAAACAACTTTGGCATGTGGAATTTTATAATAATTTCGGTTTCACCACTAAGATTTAAAATATGAGCAAGAATAAAGATCAAAATGGCTAGTTGAGAAATTACCTGTTTTTTTATACAAATAAAAAGCACAAATAAATGAAAAATGACTATTTATTAAATAAAGTTTCAAAACTCCATCCTCCAACCTGAATACACAATTGACAACGTCATAAAAAGTTATGTTTTAATTGTCTGAAGCTACTTGAATATTCTTGCTTTGTTTTTCTTTCCGCTTCTGTAAGTTTTTGTCTCAATTCTTGTTCGCATTTTAAATCTTAGTGATGAAACCAAATTTATTGTAAAATTACACATGCTTAAGTTATTTTACAGGAATTTCAATTAAATTTAATTTGAAATTACATTTTTAAGTTTAATTTACCATATCAATGATAAAAAGTGGATAAAATAACTTTTAATGCTTTTATCGTGTTTCAATGATTTTTAGCCTATCCGCCTCTGAAAGCCAATTACAACAAAAATAGGCTGATTAAGTACATTTCTTTTTATGATTTTTGGTAGTTTAGAAGCATGCGAAGTTTTTAATTTTAGCCAGAAGCTATGGAAACTCCTTTTTGTATTTTTAAATTGAAGTTGAATGTTTGTGTAAATCCTACTAAAAACTAAAGTTCCAACTTTCAAGCCTTTATTGAGTAATTTTAAGTAATTTCAGGAAGCTGAGTTACTTTTTTTAATAAAGCAACATTGAAGACAATTAAGTCACAAAAAAAAGACTGCAAAATACCTACTACGATAAAAGATATAAATTTTTGAAACCTCGCTGGCAGAAATCATTCAAAATACACAAAAACAATATAACTCTAAAACTAAGAAAAATCGCGGAACATACATGGGGTATTTTCGGATACCGCCAGGTGCGAGGAATCTAAAAAAATTGTTGACGTCACTAATTGGACCAGCCGGTATTTTGGAATATTGTCCTTGACAGACAGGCGGGAATTATTAGATATTATATTTATATATAAATTAGTAAAAAACACTTATGACTCTCCGCAGCTACTAACACTCTTCAAATTTCGAGCACCATCTAAAGTACCGCGCAAATCAATTACACCACTTTGTCCACCCTTGAAAAGAACGGTACTTGGTTTCAACTCCCCCATTGCGAGATTATCCTATACTCTAAACAAATATAGTGACATTGTCGACATACATCATGACCCTATGATCTCATTGCCAAACAAATTGTACTCGTATTATCACATATTTCCTCCGAATTTATAAACAATATATAAAAATAAATTGAAACACATTTAAAAAAATAATAACACAGATTGCACACACACACACCCCCACACACACACCCCCACACACACATACACACTTAATTTAAATAATATCTGCTTAAGTGGCTAAGTTCGCCTATGTAATGTAAAATTGATTAAATAAGATGTTATGATGTAGTAATTGTTGGTGATCCAATAAAGAGAAAATAAAATAAAAATACCTCGAATTTTGGACAGTTTTGTATTTTTCGAGATCGTCAGCTAACAAGTTATTTGAGTATCAAATAACTCGAACCAGATCATATATAAATAGAAAAATGAGAGGTCCCAAATGTGATCCCCGAGGAACTCCTAAGTATACCAGAATATAATCTGATTCATATCCACAAGTAACTACTTTTTGTGACCTCTCAGAAAGGTAAGACTGACACCAGCCTAACAAAGTGCTGTGTACACCTGCCAAGCATAATTTATTCAGCATTATATAGTAGTTAACCTTGCCGAATGCTTTACTAATATCGGTGTACACCACATCCACCTGTCGATCCTGATTCAGTTTAAAAGCGCCTACTGACATGCCTGCCGCAGGGATAATCTAGGGTGCACAGCGGTCGGGGCAATATCGGCTTGTCTCTACACACATGCCTACTATTCAGTGTTCGGGGGTGTGTTGAGCTAAACACACGCGTTGATGATGGTCCCAGTGTTATCAAAAAATCAGAAAATCGGTAGGCAGGGCCTTGGCTTTTACTATGGTGTTACTGCAAAAAAGGAAATACTGGGTGAAAAATAAGCAACAGAAAGAAATGTATTGTAAATAAGTAATGTTTATATTTTTAGAAAAAAATCTACGCGGACCTGGCAGCAGACAGGAGTCGAACCCGCACCCTTCGCTATCCGGGCGAATGCACTGATCAATTATGCTACCGCGGTCCTGATGGCCGTATCGAATTCTTTCTAGCCTTTCTTCAGCTGCAAGGCAGCGCCATTTCTTCGCATTATAAGTAACCCACAATGACAGATTAAAACCTTTACAATTATTAAACAAAAAAAACTATTTCTATTTTGCTAGTAATATTTTCTTTAAATTTAAACATCGAGCAGTTACATAATAAAAACTATTTAAAAAATGTATAAATAGTGTTTGTTTTTTTTATCCCACATGTGGGGCCGGTCTTTATATACTTCGATCACTCGTGTCCAAACTGCATGCTCATTATGATCTGCCGCCATCTTGATCGAAATACGTGTGCTCCGTGTAACAGCTACCAACCGACTGATTGAGAAATTGCCCCAATCGCGCTACACACGCGGCAACGTGCAGGGCGGCAGGGACAATCAAGGGACCAAGGGTGGTCCCGATTTAGAAAATTGCCCCAACTTGCCTACATACATCACGATTCAGGAGGCAATTAAGGGTCATCCCCACTCTTACACCCTAGATTGGCCCTGCGGCAGGCATGTGAGTAGGCGCTTTAAAATTTAATTGAGATTTGTAAAATATGGGCACACAATTTTTTGTAACATTTTACGAAAACCAGTTAATAATTAACAACATAATAAGACTATAATTATGCACGACGCACGTATTTCTTGATTTCAGCATTGGCAAGACACTAGCTCTTTTTCAAATTAAGAGAAAAGCACCTCTAGATAAAGAATTATTAAATATAATACTTAGTGGATAGAGAAGAAGTTTTTTAAAAATACCGCTGGCACGCCATAAATTATTGTTTTAAGATGTACTTTCAACGTGTGGCATTTTATTTTGGTATAGAAATAAGAAATATTTATTGCCTAACATTTTATATTATAATCGATAAGCATAGAACTTTGTATAATATTTTAAAATTATAACAATTCTCCGGGGGAAACAAATCTTGAGAGAATACAAAACAACTTGTTGAGATTCTTGCTAGTTCTTCTTAGTACAAGGTCTTCCATCGTTTACTTGCGAACTGGAGTGTTTGACGATCTTAACCCATTTATACCCACAACTTTTATTTTTTGGTTCCTAATGTGCCCCCTTATTCCAAAACGAAACAAAAAAGGAGTTTTCGTTGATGGTCATTAACTTCTACTTTTGATCCGACAGTGCATCCTGTCACGTTATTGCTTTATCTAGGTAACACTATTTGTTTGGTTACGAGTCAGTTTAAGTTGTGACTTTATTTCAGTGTGCAAAAATCAACGCATCTCCTCCAAAAAAGTAAGAAATTATAAAAAACAGCTTAAATCTACGAGTTTTGTATGTTCTAAACTAAAGTTAGGTGTATGCAGGATATATTTCCTTCTTATATATTTCCTCCTTCGTGTTGTCATCCATGGCCGATACGATATTAAATACCCTAGATACACCACGTGCGCTCAAAATATGTCCCAATCAAGAAGTGCCGAACACCACTCAAGCACTACTTGGTTCACAATCACACACGGACCGTTGAAAAGTCAACATGCCGCAGAGCTCCATGAAAAAATGCCAAAAAATACTATTAATTAGTACGTAGTGTCGTTTTTTCGACAGGTACCTAAATCAATGTTAATTTAACGCATTTGAAGCAAATTTTATTCTAATACGTATTGTACTATAAACTGATTTAATAGAAAATATTTGTGATATTCAAATTCATGGTCGGTAATATAGCCGTCTCTTTTCTTCGCATTCCGTACCTACTATTCTAAAAGCGCACTCAGAAGTGAGCCTAGAGACAAAGAAATAAGGTCTATATTCTTCCGCATATAGCAATAAGTGGTAAAATTTTAGGAGCTTGCATTTCGAACTGTCGTAACTCTTTGATACATGCGTTTTAATTAAGACCTTATACAGTATGCATTAAAGATGACTTTAAATGTTTAAATAATGCGTTATATTGTTTTTGTCTACGCGATATCTTACGGAGCTCTGTGGATCGTCCAATGTACCTTTTGCACATGTTTCGGCCACGATTTTGTTCGTGATGTTGTACCTAATCTAGGGTATTTAATATCGTTGTCCATGGCATGCACTTCTTAATTTTCGTACATCGTGTGCGTTGAGTACGTGACAAGTCCTAGGCAGACATTTATTTCACAATTCGGGGCCTTTTGTCCTCCGCAGACCAGTTCATCGTCTGCGCAGGCCATAAATTGCACAAATCCCACTCTATATACTAACTACTAAAGCCTATGCTAATTAAGCGCAAAAACACTCACTTTTGCTTCGTCCCAGAAGTGACTTCTAGCTGGATAGCCAACAATTCGTTCAGGAAAATTCTGCCACACTTTAAATGCGAAGTCTAACTCTTCTGCAAGCAAGGGTGCATCTCCATCCAATGAAAACACAGCAGCCGTAGGAACAGCCCAAAGGGGTTTCCACCTAGCAGAAACTCCTTCCCTAAAAGGTAGTGAAGATAAGTGATGGCATTATTGAGATGTTACCTGAACGAAAATATCAAAGAAAATTTGAAATTCAATATTCACCCAGGATAATGAGTAGTAGCGTCTATGACTAAGACTGGAAGTGGTTCACGTGTGTCTCCTGCTACTCTAGACAGAGACTTCAACGATGGTGCCGCGCGTTCACTGTCCCACACTAGCACAATCTGAAATCAAAAACATTACTTCTGGCTAAACAAAAGTACCTAGTTCCACACAAACTGTGAACAAGTGGGCGGGGCAAAGAAACTGCGATCAGCATGCCGATGATGGGATTGGTTGGAATTTCCGTTTAACATTATCTTAGACACCCAATAATACATTTGCAGAGATTTGATTTGTCAAAATATTTTGTTTTGTGTGAGTGTCTGTAATAATAAAAAATGAGTTTTTGAAATGGTTAGGCCGAAATCAATTAAAAAAGAATATTCGGGCGCCTGGACTGTACCATCATTATTAGCCGGGAGAACATTGGAATATTAATCGCAAAGGGGGCTTAATGCAAATCCATATTCATTTTGGGTTGTCTATATATTGAAATTTTAAGTCCAAAATTACTTAAGTCCAAAAGGGTTAAATCTAAATTTAGAAACTATTATATACTGTGATGCTACTAGGAATTAAATGAAAATTTACCTTATTATTAGAATGTTACCGACCCCGCTGCATCTGATCTGGGTAGTATATGTCTGGTGTTGTAAGTATGTAGGGGATGGCCGTTTTTAGATCCCGTGGGTTCACCTCCACCTCATGGGAAATGTCGTAATTTGAACAAAATATCCAAATGAAAAATCCAAATAAAAAAAAAACGCTTTTCGCGTTTTTCTAACAAATTTAGCTTAAGGTATGGCCATCGCCATTTTGTATGAATGATGCAAAATGTTTCATCATTAAAAACAATCAATAATATAAGGGATTATCCATTAAAAAAAATGGAATATGAAATGACCATCCTTTGGTCTAAAAATTACGTCGTGAAGTGAAGTGACAGTTTTTCTTAAGTTTGTTTTCTCTTGCCGGTAGGCAAAGAGAACAACGTCCATTCAGCCTACTGCTTGATAAAGTTAGCAACATAATTATTCAAAAGTGCACAGATTACAGAAAAATGGGCGCGAGATAAAAACGACCAGAGAGACAACCAAAAAAAATCTTCTATCTCGCTCTTCGAGCGAAGGAGATCCATGTGACGTTTTTAACACGTTACATGTGGCGTTAGTATTGAAGTTTAGAAGTTTTTTCGAAGGCGGGTAGGTGTAAAAAGTGGTTGCGTTTTAAAATCATCATCAAAAGTTAGGTATTTGAATATTTTTAGGTTATCAACTTATATTATTTATATTGTATATTAATATTATATATTTCTATTAAATATTTAATGTCTAGTTCTGAAATTGATAGTGATGGAAACTCTTTTCAATCTTTGTCTCCTGCTAGCAACTGCACTGACTCTAGTTTTTTTACTATACCCTCCCTTTTTGATTGCCTTGACAACGAATTTTCTGATGCACCTAAAAATTTTAACGTTGTTCATATAAATGCCCAAAGTATTCCGGCTCATTACACTGATATGCTGGCGTCTCTTGACCACAAAAATCTTCATGCTGTTCTAGTCTCCGAATCCTGGCTTAAACCTACTCTACCCTCTTCCTCCTATGCTTTGCCTAGCTTCAATCTGCTACGCAATGATCGCACGGGCTCCCGAGGTGGTGGAGTTGCTATTTATTTACGTTCCCAAATTCCTTACACTATAATTAGCTCCTCCACACAGCCTCCTCCAAATGATGCCGGTGAACATTTATTTGTCGAGGCGACCCTCTCGCACACCAAAATTCTTCTCGGAGTCTATTACAGCCCTTCTTTAAATGTCAACTATTTCAGTTCTTTTGAACAACTCCTGGGTGATTTGGTTCCTTCTTACAGCCACACTTTGATCATGGGCGATTTCAATACCTGTCTTTTAAAAAATGACTCTTGTACATCTTCTCTTCAATCCATTATTAATTCTTGTAACCTACATATTCTCCACCTTAGCGCTACTCATCACTTTCCAAACACTACTCCCTCACTTCTTGACCTAATAATTGTGTCTTCTCCTCATCGTATTATGAGGCATGGTCAATGTTCGGCAGATGCCTTCTCATACCATGACTTAATTTTCTTGTTCTACAAAATTCGGCCTCCAAAAATTAAGACTAAAGTTATTCTTCAGCGGAATTTTGGTGGTATGGATAAGGAAGCACTCTTAAGCGACGCCCTTAGTACCGATTGGACATTAGTAACTGATGCGGTGTCTGTGGACGAACAGGTCGAGAACTTTAATCAAATTATCACTGAACTGTACGATAAACATGCCCCTTTTCGTCCCATTAAGCTAAAACACCTACCAGCGCCTTGGCTCACGAACGACATCAGAGCATTAATGCAAAAGAAGGATATTGCCAAAAGCAAGTATAAACGCCGACCGACTGACTCCAACAAAGCTAACTACGTTAGAGCCCGTAACTACTGCAACTTGGTGTGTAGGGATGCTTCACGTCGCCATATTCACGTCTCAGTAGATAATAAAGATCCTGCTAAAGTCTGGAATTGGTAAGCCCCGACAAGAATCTGTTCCCAGTAGCATTAACGTCAACTCCTTAAACCTTCACTTTTCATCTTCTTCTAGTCTAACAACACTCAGACAAGACTAACACTTTAAATTATCTTTCTTCTTTACCAGTTCCAGACTACTCTCCTTTTACTTTTACTCAATTCTCTGAATGTGACGTTAAGAAGAGTGTGCTTTCTATCTCATCCAATGCGGTGGGGAGTGACAGTATAAGTCGCAACATGTTAATACCAATCTTAGATATAATTCTTCCTGTGCTTACTTTCCTTTTTAACAATTCTATTCTTAACGCTGTTTTTCCATCGGCTTGGAAGCAAGCTCAAATTATCCCATTGCCAAAAAAATCAAATCCTCAATCTGTCGCTGATTTTCGTCCCATTTCCATTCTTCCTTTTCTATCTAAGGCACTTGAGCGCCTTGTTCTTAATCAATTTAATATATTCCTTTCTCGTCACGATCTCTTCAATCCTCTTCAGTCCGGTTTCCGTCCAGGGCATAGTACTACTACTACCTTACTTAAAGTCACAGATGACATACGTCTTGGGATGGACCACGGTTTCCTTACGGTATTAACACTGTTGGACTTTAGCAATGCCTTTAACACTGTCAACTTTGAAATTCTTTTGGCATTGTTCGCCTCGACGAGATGTTTTCTTCTTGGTGTGACACGACTGCTGGCGTTCCACAAGGCGGCGTCTTATCTCCTCTACTCTTCGCTGTATTGATCAATTCTATTTCTAATAATATTTCTTCTTCCTACCACCTATATGCAGATAACCTCCAGATTTATCAACAAGCTCCCGTTGGTCAACTTGCTGATGCAGTATTGGCCACTAATAGTGACATGAACATTATTTTGGAATGGAGTAAATCTTTTGGGCTGGACGTTAATCCTTCTAAAACAAACAATATTGTAATTGGAAGTTCCAGGATGATCACTAGAGTTGACTGGCAAACACTCCCCAAAGTCCATCTTGCGGGCACCAATATTCCATTTAGCACCTCAGTGAAAAACTTAGGTTTAACTTTCGACAGCTGCATGAGTTGGGGACCCCAGATGCAAGTGCTCAGTCATAAACTGTTTGCTTCCGCAGCTTCTTTAAAGAGACAGGGTAATTTCCTACCCACTACCACCAAAATTACCTTAGCTCAGACACTCTTGCTTCCTATTCTTGATTATGCTGACGTCTGCTATCTAGATCTCACGGAGGCCCAGCTTGATAAACTTGAGCGGCTTCAGAATTTCTGTATACGATTCATATTTGGCCTGCGAAAATATGATCATGTTTCTCAATTTCGTTCACAGCTCAAGTGGCTGCCTATTCGCTTTCGCCGGAATACTCATATCCTTATTCTTCTCTATAACGTACTGTTTAATCCTTTGACCCCGCGCTATTTTAAGGAATGTTTTAACTTCCTTCACACCTCTAACACATTGTCCCTAAGGTCATCAGAAAATTTTGCTCTTATTACACCTGTGCACGGAACAACTTTTTATGGCCGCTCATTCGCAGTGCAATCTGTTCGCCTATGGAATTCGCTTCCAGTTTCCATTAGACGTGCAGAAGATCTCTGCACAGATTCAAAAACCTTCTAAGATCTCACTATCTGTCCTTATAGCTCCTCTATTGTATTTATTTCCTCTCACCGAATTAGACCTATATATGGTACATATGTATTTTTAGTATGTATATATATATATATATGTATGTATTTACCTATGTATGTATGAGTGTATGTATGTATATCTATGTATTTATATGTGTTTATTTGTTTTATATACTCGGTGTGTTCATAGATTTTCTCGCGTATTATTGAAGTTACACCGCCGTCTTTCCAGCTTCTTTCTTGTCCTCTCCATCCCAAGGTTGTCTGGAAGAGATCGCTCTTAGCGATAAGACCGCCCATTTTTACACTGTAAGCAGCCATTATGTATGTTTTATATTTTTTATTTTGTGGTGTAAAATAAAAGAGTTTTTATTATTATTATTATTTAGCTGTATGAGTTTGAAAGCATGTTCTAGTGGCCTAGTTAGAGCGTAATGCTTCCATATCATTTGTAATTCGTTAATCCTACAATGTAACTAAATGTTGTAACATTTAAATCTAAACAATCACCTTCTCGCAGAATTCACTGTTGGCTATGTTAGCGAGCAACTTGTGCAGAGCTGGCGAAGTGGCTTGCACGTACAGCAAGGCAGTGTATGTACCACTACTGGTGGGCGGCGGTGCCGTCAGTGGTACAGAAGGCGCGGGCAACGGAGACGGCGGCGCCTGTGGGGCTCGCGGTGCGGGCGGCGCGGCCACACCCAATGGCAAATGCGCTCTCGAATCTCCATAGCAAACAAGCGTCCCCAACGCTCCAGGAGAAGCATTCCAAATAAGTGCTTCCCGCTGTCGCGACGTTCTATGGGCTGATATCCTCTCTAATATAATCTAAAACGAATGATTTTGTTAATAACAATACGCACGAGATAACTTCGTAAACAAAAAAAAAACTCCGTTAGTACCTCAATCGTAGTGAAAACTATCTTTTCGATGGATGAAAAATATTGCTCCCACAAAAGCTGCGTTTGTTGCCGTAGAGCCAGAACACGTTCGGGTGAAACTGAACGTACAAGCTCGGGTACCTATTGCCAAGTAAATATTGTCAATCATCAAATATTACATAAATAATAAAAATTAAATTAGTTTCTAAAAATAAAGATAATATCTTAATAAATAGAACCTGCAAAAGTAGCCGCTCGTCCGCCCAAATCACAGCACGACGCCAATCAATGCGTTCATCAAAGGGTAAACGCCAGCCGTTACTTAGTAAAACAGGTACACAGCCTGCAGCCAACGCTTCAAGAAACCGATATGAGCCCAATCGTCGGCCACGTGCTACCAAGCAAAAAGTAGAATTCGACAACAGCTGCTCATAATCGAACCTAAAATGAAAATGTATATTTATAAATATTTTATCCAAATAATTTTGGCTGGATATAATAGTTATTTATGCGACTGTTGGTTATATAATGAGGGGTATAAATATTTACCGCTAATTATTATTAGCGATAAATATTTATACCCCTCATATGATACTTCATATAAGTGTTTTAATACCTAAATATAACAATTCCATACAAGACTCTATCTACAACAACGATATTAATCCTCTGTGAAAGATTCTAAAACCATGGGGCGTTCTAAGAACTTAAAATTCATGAAAAGTTTCAGCCCTCATGAATGACAATGTTCTTTTTTTGAAGTTCATAATACCATGCAGCCATCATAGTGAAAATTATGGCTGTCTGATGAGCAAGCCCTTGGCGCGGAAAGGATTTCACAAGCGAAGGAGTGTTATTATAAAATTGAAGTGTAATTATCAACACCGCATTTAAAACCGCTAGTAAAGATTCTGAGACAGTTACCTTACTGCCAACATTAAAACATCTAATGTCATAATTAAAAAAAAAGAACCCGTTTGGGTGTTATAATGGCTTTTTTAATAAATTCCATAAAAATATTCCCATCCCGTGAGATAAAGTCCCGGATGTCTGAAGTGATCTCATCAGACAGCCACAATTTTCACTGCTGAATGCGTGGTACTTATTAGGAATTTCATAAAAAGAACATTGTCATTCACGCAAGCTTCGCTAGGTACCACACCGTCCAAACTGTTCATGAATTTTAAGTTCTTAGAACGCCCCATGGTTTCAGAATCTTTAAAATTATATTTAAATTATTAATTAATAAAAACCATTATAACACCCAATCGGGCGTTATCGAAAATTTGACGATGCAATACGATTACGGAGCTGCCAAAACGCGTTCGTACCGCTGGCTGTCGCAGTGTGCGCGTCGTTCACACGCGAGGATGCAGGCTAAGACTTCATGTATAATATTATTCTAGTGCCTATACCTGATTTTTCCATATTATATCATATTGCTGTCATAACAAGATCAGAACTTACTTATCATATTCACGATTATCTTCATCACATCTTTCATCTCTTAGGTCTTTCCATGATTTTCCATGACGACAAGTAGTGACTAAGATAAGGTTATTGCCGTCATGCAAGTGCCAGAGAGAGTTTCTCGTTTCACTACCAATACCATGTACATATCTTTTTCCTTTAAATGCTAGTAAATGTTTACGTGGTGCCGGGAACGTATTTGCAGTAGCTGATGGGGGTTGCCCTCCCTTTTCTGGGTGTTCTTTATGGAATAATGGCAAGGATATATCAAATCCTTCACGAAACACTGTCTCTGAAGCGCTGGCACGGGCTAATATTGCATCACCGGGATCAAAACCGAGAGCGTTTTCAGCATAATCAGGCCATGTCCCGGCATATAGATTAAAAATTAAATGGTTTCGGCCATTTTTCCAATAAGGTAATCGAGATAGTCGTGAAGCAACATCTGGAACATGTTCTGGCGAGAGAGGATCTGCATCTAACGTGTCGACGGCAGGTATATATAAACACGCTTCGTTGGGGTCCCTTGTCGCATAGCGTGATTCTCTGATAACTGATAAGACTTTCCTATATGAGGCACTCACGGGACCCTCTGTGGGGTACACATATATTTTTGGATCATCCCCACATTTAGTAAAATCAAAACAGGTCTCCATTCGACATGGCTTTGAGGTCGATCGTGGTTGCCTCTGTAGTAATGAAGGTGCCTCTGATAGATCTTCAAATGATGCGAATGTTGGTAGTTGATCACGACGACTTCGTTGGACTAACTCAGATTTAAAGTTGAGCACAGTATAAAACCCATATAATAAAATAATGCAAGTTGCAATAAGAATAATATAACGTTTTTTCGCCTGCATTTCATAAAAATGTATTATAAATATACATTGAGACACGGCTGTAAAATTCATCCATCAGCTTTATCTGAAATAAAGGAGATTTTGATCATTACACATTGCAGACTATACATACTTAATACGAGCATTTGTACTCCAGTCATGGATGTTTAATTTGTATTTCTATATAAATATACTTATATATGTACAGTGGTGCCGATTCTAGCGTGATTCTCTTAACTTATAACTAAATTTAACATCAGTCTCTCCTTTTCATTCTGTATAGAGAATGACAAGGATGCACTGTTGTCAAATTTAAGTTTAGCTTTAGAGAATCATGCCAGAATCGACATCATTATATGTATTCTATCCGTTACCCTAGCATTCCATAACACAAGCCTTACAGTGCTTACTTTGGGGCTAGGCTAATTGATGTGAGTGTTGGAAATATTTATTTATTTACTTTTGACTGAGACTGAAAACGGGTCAAACAATCCGTTACAAATGAATTGAATTTCTGTTTCCCATATTGAAGTCAATATATAAAATAGGTATAGTTAATGAATGGTGGATTCTTCACATCAATTGGAGCACATGTCCTTATTTAAAATTACTGATGGCTGATCAATACCTGCCTCAGTTTAACCAGCTATCTTTGCAACAGAACTCTCTTAATCACTCTTGAAATGAGGTAGGGTAAGGCTATTTGTGACCTTTAATATTACATTTGGTATGTTACAGTCCACGAGACCTAAGCTGAGCATTTTATTTGTGTAAGTGATCAAGAAAAAATAGTCAGACGAAATACTTAAAAAGATAAAATTATTAGCTAGAGCATGTAACAATCGAACGGTTTTGGAAAACCGGTTTTATTTAAAAAATCCGACTATACTGGTGTTTTCGGTTTTTTTGGGTTTGTTACTAATAGTCAATAAAAGCAGTAAAAATGCTTATTAACTGGAACAATTCCTCGGAGCACTCACCATGAAAGAGCCTGTAGAATACGCATAAACAAAAAATGTCCCTGCGTAGTTCTAAAGGCTCCAGTTTTTCCGCTAGCTTGGGATCATCGACAATCCTAATCGCAGATCTTTGTATAGAAATCAACTGTAGTTGGAAACCCCTGATTGATAATCGATTGGATCCAACTGGTATTTGAGAGCTCGAACCCAGAGATGTGAGCAGTCCTTAGCGGGAACCAATGTCGAATTCGTTACGTTTTAAGTGGGAAATGTCATTGAGAAATTTCGAATGAAAACTTGAACAACAGCGCCACAACGGACGTAGCGAAAGTTAAAAATCAGTAAACATTTAACATGTATCTAGATCGAATTCGATAACGGTTCGTGCTAAGTGTACAGTTCTTTGTCTTTGCTTAGACGTGAAGTACTGCTTCGACCGATTAAGAATGCCAAGATTTTTAGAATCCAGTTTATCCTTGCCCTCTAATTAGTTTCTATATTGAATGTCGCACGACATCTCAACACCTGGTATCCCAACGCTATGGAAATTATGCAGCGGAACTACTTATAATGGTGGTGTGACAGCAAATGAGTCCATTTTGCAGTGAATGCTCAAATCATATCTTGCTAGGGTTAAATAAGACGAGGTACTGACTTCGACATTCGAAGACTCGCTCAAAATAACCCTCTATTTCGAAGATAAGTTTAGTCTGCCAATCCGAAACTACAGTTGCAAGGATGTTTAGGTGGTCGGTATACCGCGCGTCACGCGTGCTGTTATCTGCATAATAAATCATGCCAGGAACTAAAAGCATGTCATTGGTATGTAGGATAACCAGTGTCGGCGAGAGTACCGAACCTTATGGATTTCTAGCATTTATCATGGGTTCAGAGTAGCAGACATCGATAAAGACTTTAATACTTCTGCTGTCCAAGAAATTGCATATCCACTTGGAAAGCCCCTCAGGTAGCCCGTATGGTGGTAACTTTAATAAAAGTGCAAACTCTATGCAAAACCCTATCAAATCAGATATCCAGGTTTACTACAGGGGCTTAACCTTTGCTGTCGATGGCTTTAGCCCAACTGTGAGTGAGATAAACGAGATCACTAGCTGAACGACTGTGGCGAAAACCGTAGTTTTGTTAACTAATTAGCTGGTGATCCTTATGGAATCTCAATAGGCGGGTGTTATTACCGCTTCATCATCTTAGAGAGCATCAGATTGGTCGACCTTTTAGTACACTATTTTATCACCTATAAACGAGCGAAACGACTCAAGCGAGACTGACTGACAAAACAAAATGGCTGAGGGACTCGAACGACAATCGAGTGTAAAACGCTTTCCATTTTACAAATAAGGTTCCTTATTCCTGAAAAAAAACTACATAATGTAAAAAAAATGTAAGTGATGTACTACTAAAATACAATTATGAAGAAACTGAAGATCTTATTAGGTAAACTACCTATTATTGTACACGCATCCACGCACACACACACACACACACACACATACAGATTCATTTATTTTCATTAAATCATAACATTAAGTTCTAAAGACGTACGCTATTGAGTTTACTTATCTGGAAGCAGCCACTGACTGCTGGGATACAGGACATGTCCTAGTTTGGGAGTTTGCTTTGAAAAGGACATCGACGAAATCGGCCCTAGCATGACCAAAATAATGTCCTTCACTATAATTTTACTATTACTTTTTTAACTTATTAGCAATTAATCATAGTAAACGGACAACCTGTTTAAAAAAATTAAATATTAAAAGTTCTGTTACTAGATACTACAGTCTGTTCATCCAACTTGTCCCGATTTGGTAAACAATCTTGGCACTCCTTTTTATTGAAAATACAGCATTAAAAATCAACTGATAACTGGATTCAATAGGTTTCAGTCTATAATAACGATTTATTTTAATAGTTTATTGGCTTTGTTAATATTTTATTATTAAATGGGTGATTCTGTTAAAAAGTTGTGCCAAGATTGTTTACCTTAATAAATGCAATATAGTCGACCATTGGTATTTATCAACATAAAAATAGAACAAGGTAACTTAGTTAATAATACTTATTACTAGTATTTATATTATATTTATAAAAAGATTATTTCTAAAATTATGTAAAGATAGTTTATACTCCCATCCCATGTAATATCTGTTTATTTTTATGAAAATCATAATGATAACCAGGTACATACCTAATTACCGATAGTAAAATATAGAAACAGGTAAATGAAAAGACTTTGAACATTTCATTTGAAAAGAAATCTATTATTACTACAGGTAGGTATAGGTAGCATAGGTGCCAACTGCCCACACTCGTAAATCAATATGAATATAAGCATTTTTTTTATTATTAATTGCATTTTATGTTAATTTAATGCATATTATTTAAGTGCTTATATAGATGTAAACACTAAATCTATTCAGAATATAAAAAGTGTACATCTTTTACGATTAAATATAATAATTATAACCTCAAAATCTAATACATTCTGTAGTAGCCCACGGTTCCTCAAGTTGTCCGTATCTCAACAAATGCCTAATTAGAGTTAATGAATGAATCCAAACACAACTAGCATTTTCTCATTGCTGGGCGTTCTAGGGCATTCAATGTATGGGGAACGAGCAATGTCCTTTAACTGTTAGGTGCACATAGTAAAACTAATGTTACTGTATCATTTTATTCTTGTTAAATACATATTATTATTATATTATACCAATGAAATAGATTTGTTTAATTAAAAAAGTAATAATCCGAAAAAACACGTTTTTATTATTAGAGAAAACCTAATTCTAAAATCTATCGGTTATCCGGTTTTTTCGGTTAACCGGTTGCATGTCCTACTAGCAGGTACATAACATAGTTTGGAAAGGTATTCTAAAAAAAATAAGCATAAATTGATAAAACTAAAGCCTGCGCAGGCGAAGGACTTTTGTCTGCGGAATTTTTTCTCCAATAAAATAGATCGCTTAAAACTGCATCGAGTAACGCTCACGACGAAATGAAAGTACCGCGTACAAAAAGTCCCCCGAACAACCGAGGATTCCCAGAGACCGCGTAGGACAAAAGTACGCGAGTGTCCCCGAAAAAAAATGGAACTCATATGACTGGGCGCAGCAATACACAGACAGCGAACTTTAAGAGCGGACGGGAGAACTGAGAGACATTTGAGAAATAGTTATTTGAAAAAACTATTGCTGTCGCGCAAATTCCGTGCGATATGGACACGCTAACGCTGAAAATTGCGTATAAAAATGGCAGAATTCGAGGTTTGGCTCTCGACGATTTCCTCCTCGAAAATTAGACATACGAGTATGTAAAACAACCCATAGAATAATAAGTAGTCATTCTATGCCTCTATGTTTTGCTTTTTTTGTAAATGCTTACTAACACTCCACACTAGACGTCTTTAGTGTTGATAAAAATTTGTTTATTTTTGACATTATTTTTGAAACACAAGTTATCTAAAAAAAGAAGACATGGGAGCATAGAATGAGTAAAATTATATTTTATGTATGAAAATTATTTCCATATGATAGAAAATCAAGGAGGAATTAGTCGCGAACGTTTGACGTTTTGAAAAAACATTTCCGCCTCCCTAGGCCTATAAGACTACCCAATTTTAAGGAACCCTTACCCTGACCAAAGTTGGTGTAAGAGTTACGGCGTAAGGACCCGATCTAGGGCGATCGGCGCGTCCCGATCTCCCTTACGCCCATAAATATATATATAAGATGTATATATATAAGATATATATATATAATCAATATATTATATATATTCAAAATAAAATTAATCCAAAATCGACATCCATTTCAATATTCAGAACTTAGTTTTATTTAATTCTTCTACAGAATAAAAGCATTTATCCAATAGCCAATTTTTCAATACTATTCTGAACCTGTTGTAGTTGCTTAATATTGTCAGGTACTTTATTATATATTTTTATAGCCATTGCATAACCACTTTTATTGATACAAGAAGTTTTGGTATTAGTTCTCAATACAAGTATGTTCAAATGTCTACAATTTCTGCTTGAATTATCTTTTAGTTGCTGGTATAGGCACTGTTTTGTTTAACAATTTTTTCTCATTTCTATTACATATCAGCAAGGCAATGTTTAAATGATTTGAAGAACAGTCTGCAAGAAACATCTGCTGCAATGTTACAAATGGCTCAAACACATTTCATTTGGGCAATGAATAAGTACCTAATTTATATCCATTTCATTTCCCCATGCTAAGGATTCCACATAGGCTAAATATGCTCAAATTGCTGTCTTTCTGCCTGTAATTCTTGCAAGATTTTATAAAGCATATGCAAAGCTATTTATTTTTCCAAATACATTTTCTATTTGGTCTCTCCAATTAAGCCTGCTATCAATAAATAGACCCAACAACTTACCTTTTGTACCCCAATTTATTTGCTCTCCATTAATGTTAATATACATAAAGGATTTTTAAAATTATCAAATGAGTAAGCTAAGCTATGTCTATGAATGATTATTGGAATTATCTGTATCTTTCATAATTTTATTATTTTGGTACTTATTGAGTCAAATCCTTCTGATGGAGTATCATTTAATGTCTTTATTATCTTATTTATTTGGTTCCAAAAAGATTTGAATGATAGAACTTATTGTCTTTACAGGTGTTTATAGTGTTATTGATGGTTCTTTTACTTATGTCAGTGAAATGTCTAGTAAATGTCTCAACCAGGGGTGCTCAAACGGATGATTGAACACTAATATCTAAATATGCTACGGTACACCCTACCTAGGTAAGTAGGTAGGTGGGGTGTATAGTGTATGTACGACAACCCTGCATCACACATACTTGCAGCCTCTCTGAGTTGATCGTAAGTAGTCTAAAAATTTTGTTGATTACTTTTTTATTAATATATATATTTTTTCTATGTTGTTGGTTTCTTTTTTTATAATTGTACATGTAGCTTTGCCCATGTTCTCACTATTTGACATATGTTTTATTGGTTATTTTTTTGATTGATAAACAATTTTTTCAGTAACTTGTTATATTTTAGATATTTTTTCCTATTAAATTCATTATTCTGAGCATAATATTTGTAATGTTGAATATAAATAATAAAATTTTGTAGTGCAACTTCTTTCCCTCCAAGTTTATAAAACACACAGAACCTGTCATGAAATTCTTTGAATTAATCACCTAAATGACCTAGCCAACTAATAAAAACAAAAAGAAAGACATGGTTGAAACACTGTGCAATACTAGAAATTAACTAGACTTAGTTAATGTAGTAGGAGTAGTCCAATGGGAGATACGCTTAGGAAAAGACATTACTTCACACATCAAATTTGCTTATATTCTATGATGAGATTGAAAACTGTATGTATTTTTCAACTAGTACAGGTTTGTGCCCCAGCAGCAGGGACATTATTAGTTGATGAAGATGATGGATAATTTCAAGATAAATATTGTGAAATAAAGCAGAAGGCTCTCTTGACCCTCACCTCATTTTGAGTTTTGATGAGACTAGGAAGTGAATGAATACACTTGCATATGTATATGCTTTCTATTGATATTGGTCTTCAAGAAACCTCGTTTTTAATTCCAGAGCATTTAAGATCCTACGTTTATAAAGATAGAAATAAAATTTAATTGAGTAAAAATTATTTAGTTATTTGTCAATATTGGTCTTCAAGAAACCTCGTTTTTAATTCCAGAGCATTTAAAATCCTACGTATAAAAAGATAGAAATAAAATTTAATTGAGTAAAAATTATTTATCAATGATTTTGTGGGGAGAAAATAAATGCTTATTATTATACTACACAATGACAGTGAAATTAACGTGTATTAAATTTGATTAAAAACAACTTACCTACATTTTAGTTAATAACATTATTTAAATTTACTCGTAAATAAGCGAAACACTATGCATTCACAATATACTACAATTCATCATGAAAAAGATGACACTTTCACTAGTGGTAATAAATTTTTAACTTTCACTGCATTTGTCTGCAGCTACTTATATGTAATTTGTATAGTTTTATAGCGAGGCCATAAAGTCACTAAATAACGTTCGTTGGTCATAGGCTTGTTGAAAATATATCGATGTATCGATATATCGATATTTTTTGTTCGATATATCGATATTTTTTGCCGATATATTTTGATTCGATATATCGATACATCGATACAAAATAACCAATATCGAAATTCGTATCAAAAACGATATTTTTGAAGTTATACTTCTTTAGCCGCGTTATGAAAAAATGATGAGAGTGAAATTTTAAGATGCGCGCGCAACACTGTAACAGAAAAGTAACACCATGAAGTCGGCCGCTAAACCGCACATTACTCGTAAGTCTCGAAAAAAAGCTTCCAACAAAATAGTAGTCTCTTAGTCGCACATGTTGGGACGCTCGTCGCCTCTGATCACTGTTTTCATATTTATAATATTTATCCACATGTTTCTAGTTTCTATATTCTTAACACGTGTTATAATGTTATACAAATGCAAAATTTATATGTGCTAATAAATTTTATTCAGTAGTGATTTAAATTGAATATTTTGATTATTTATTAAATTTTTCAAATTAAAACTGAACTTTATTGACTGCGTCGACTATCCTTTTCCAATCCTTTTATTATCTTATTGTAATTAATTATCTGCATGCAATTAAAAACTATTTTTTAATAATTCCAAAAAGAAGTATAACTTCTCACGCGCGTACTTAAGTACACGCACCCATATTTTTTTTAATTATTAGCGGCATATCACGATATAACTAAATTCGTATCTGGAAAAATCGTAACTGGATCTCAGATTAATGATATTCAACATATCTATGATCTGTGCTATATTTAGTATTGTCTATTATTTGTAAATCTGTTTCGCTGGTGAATTGGTTGTGCTGATTTCCATTATATTCTGTGAAGTGTGTGACTGTCTAGTCTTGTTAACGAAAGAGACCCTGCAATCATTTTCATCATTCGAAAATAGGGTCTATTTTTAGGAAGATATTTTTCGTTCCATTATTATTCCGCATGTCATATTTCGTGAGCTACTGTACGATATTTTTGGGAAAATTGGTCCGATATATCGATATATCGATGTTTTTTCGCGATATATCGAAGCCGATATTGATATTTTTTAAAATATCGATGTATTGATATTTTGAAGTTATACTTCTTTAGGCGCGTTATGAAAAAATGATGAGAGTGAAATTTTTAGATGCGCGCGCATCACTGTAACCCAAAAGTAACAGCATGAAGTTGGCCGCGGGCGCGTTATGAAAAAATCATGTGAGTGAAATTTCGAGATGCGCGCGCATCACTGTAACACAATTGGTTAATACTCCACCATTATTAGACATCTGTTCGAAAGGTACTTTGAACGATCCACGGAGCTCCATAAGATGATCGCGTTGTCAAAAACAATGTTGGCACGCTCGTCGCCTCTGATCACTGTTTTCATATTTATAATATTTATCCACATGTTTCTAGTTTCTATATAGAAACAACGTGTTTTAGATACTTACAAGTGCTAATTACATATGGACTAATAACTTAAATTCAGTAGTGATTTTAATTGAATATTTTGAATATTTATTTAATTTTTCAAATTAAAACTGAACTTAATTGACTGTTATGTTTTTTATTTATTTTTAAGCATTTAACTGCTAGATGTTTAAATCTAAAGAAAAGTTTTACTAGAAAAAAATCCACGCGGACCAGGCAGCGGACGGGACTCGAACCCGCACCCTTCGCTATCCGGGCGAATGCACTGACCATTATGCTACCACGGCCCTATTCGCCGCGTCGAAATTTTCCTAGCCTTAAACTGCAAGGCAGCGCTATCTCTTCGCATTGTAGGTAATCCACAATGTCAAATGCAGCTTAAGGCTAGGAAAATTTCGACGCGGCGAATAGGGCCGTGGTAGCATAATGGTCAGTGCATTCGCCCGGATAGCGAAGGGTGCGGGTTCGAGTCCCGTCCGCTGCCTGGTCCGCGTGGATTTTTTTCTAGTAAAACTTTTCTTTAGATTTAATTGACTGTGTTAACTATCCTTTTCCAGTCCTTTTATTATTTTATTGTAATTATTAATTATTTGCATGCAATTAAAAAATATTTTTAATGATGCTAAAGAAGTATAACTTCTCACGCGCGTACATAAGTTACACGCATCCATTTTTTTTTCAACATTCGACATCCCTAGTTGGTCACAAAATATCTAGAGTCCGACAAAGCGAGTCGTGGTACAAGCGGTGGCGGTAAATTTAAAAATCTTTCATATGTTAACCCTAAATATAGTGAGAAAAATCATGTTGATACTTGAATATTTCAATATTTTATGATACCTATTTGAAAAACAAAATAATAATGAAGGGATCTATTACGAATAGCACCATATTAACAAATGTTTCAATTGGTCATTTATCTATAAGACATTCATGCCTGATTCACCAGGGCTTGCAGTGTAGACATGTCGGTGATCACTAATGTGAAACAATCCGTACTCTAGCGCCGCTAACCGACAAAAAATTAATTTAAATTTTTAAGAACTAAAAACTAAACAAGTGATATGTGTTTCTATGAAAACACATTATCAATTTAAAAATATTATTCTTTTTAGTGCCTCGAAAAATAAATTATAATCAAGTGGAATGGCTTTATTTTTAGGCGCTAGCATGCCAGTTGTTCCACCTTAATAATACATTAATAAGGAAAACGGATATACACAAAATGTATAAAAAAAAATATTTATTTATTCTGAAACATAATCAAAATCTTCTTCAAAAGGAATATAATATCGATTCTGACATGATTCTCTAAATCTAAACTTAAATTTGACAACAGTGCATCCTTGTCATTCTTTATACACAATAAAAAGGAAAGGCTGATGTTAAACTTAGTTTTAAGTTTAGAGATTCAGGCCAGAATCGGCACCATTATCACTGAGCCACTTCCGAACATCAGCCTTTACATTACTCATCGTTGGGGCCTCATTTATTTGTGTAACGTGGTATCTTGCATTATCCATAACAATTACAGAATGTTCGGTTAAATTAGGTTTCAATTTTTCTTCCAACCATTTCATGAAGTTGTTACGGTTCATGTCATCATCATTGTCTGCCATTTTAGAGTTTGTGCTAAACACTAGTAACCCATTTGGCACAAACCCTTCTCAGATCCAGCATGAACTATGATGTATATTTTACCTGTAAACTTAATAAAATTAAAAAATAATAAAACATGAATAAGTCAAACAATTTTGTTAATAATTTTAAAGGTTCTGACGCAAGCTTACATTCATCTAAACATATTTCCAAAGAAAGAAACGAGATTAAGGCAGTAACTTAGTATAAAAAAATTACCTTTAGAATTTTTGTCAATTACTCCACTTGTGCTCGGACCTTGCCAAGATTTGTTTGGTCTATAATTTTGATGTACATACGTTTCATCTAACACAATAAAATTCATTTATTTTACTCCCAATTGCGCATAAATATGTCAAAATCATCCAAGTTTGAAACACGTGGTTGACGAGGGCGTTTTTTCCTGGTGTGTTCCATTTACCCTGGTTTAAAGAAACTTCCTGTTTTATTCTTCTCATTGTATTTACACTAACATCTGGAATTATAAAAGTATAATTAGGTTAGCTACGCAAGTCTATGTACAAGTATAAAATATGGCGCAAATAAGTATATTGAAAATTACCTGTTACGAGTATACAAATGCGTTCTTGATTCAGAGGTAATAAGATTTTTATTCTCAATATCTTTGAGCTCCTTGACTAAATCTTTGATTTTGCGTTTAATGTCTTCGTCATCCGACCCCAGACCAAATAAAAAGTAAAGACGGAGTCTGCCGAACAAAAAAGTGAAGCCGATAAAACTACGCCTCGCCGTGTACATACACAGCTACACGCACACACATGCAACGAAACTACGCCTTGGCTTCCCAGTCGAGCTATCCCGGCGCGCGGAGTGTGACGTAATAATAAATAACAATATTTATTAGAGAAAATGCCGAATTGTGTAGTGAAAACGTGTAGAAACCAATCTTCCAAGAATAAAAAACAGGATGGAATCACATTTCATACGTAAGTAAAGTTATAAACTAATATTTTCAATTAATCAAAATCAAATTTGAGGTTATCGCTTTGTAAACAAAACCTGAACGAAATACTGCCATGATTATACGTTACAGTTTTACCCTTTTGTTGGGTAGCGTGAAATACAACGTAACGTTATTTTATTAAATACATTGTGTAGCATACTTTTATATTATTCGAATATTGTAATGCATGGATAAACAGTTACACGAAACATCTTTATTATCTTTTTTCTTTATGTATTCGTATAAATATTTTGGGATGTAATACACTTTATATATTATACGTTTTTTTACGATTTCCCAATCGAGATTAAAATCTAAAAGAGAAGTGGATTGCAGTCATTCGTAAGAGTAGAAATGAATCATTGTGGCAACCAACTTCCCGCAGCATGGTTTGTTCGACTCATTTTCAGAGCGACGATTTGTACTACACAACAAAAGGGTTACGTCGTGCAAAACAAAATGCATGGCAAAAGGTATTTTTTTTACTTAACTTAATATGGTTACTTAGGTTAATTTATATTTTAAAGATTCCAATAATTCTTCAGTCGTGCAGACGGTTGAAACACAAAATTACACCAATTTTATTTCACAATATTCACTATGAACGAATTAAAGAATAATTAAAATATGACGCTAACCGCACTCCATGAAATCCCGCAAAAACTCCAAAGGTTAAGCTTTGTTTTTATTACATATTTTTTAAATAAACTTTTATTAGTGTAACAGTTATTAAACTTATAAATCACAGGAACCCCAGATCTCCAAGCGCATGAGCTTTGGATCACGAGAGGTTGCATCTAGCGCTAGTGTAAAACTAATCTGGACTAGTTTAGAGAATAAGCCTTCGATATTTTTTTCTAATATTTTATAACATTATTCATAACGTTATGAAATAACGTTATTACATTTTTCTAATATTGGGGTATTATAAATGACTATGGTAACACTGGCTAAT